CCCCGAGCCCCCCCCCCAGCCGGGCTTGGCTGGCGGGGCGCCGGGATGGAAAGGGAGGCGGGGGCGCCCGCTTCTGGTCTCGGTCCGGAGGGTGGCTAGAGCCAGCCCCGTTACACCCCCAGGGCGCGGAGTTGGGCGGGGGACCCCGCGCCCGATTCGGATTCCCCACTGATTCCAGTGGACCCGCTCCCCGTTCACACTGGGGCACGCGAGAAGCGAATCCGGCCCCTGGTGTAGTCCAGAGACTCCCTCTTTGTCCGCTGCCTTGACAGTTTGGGTAGCAACCGGGTTTGTGCCCGTCCTGGAGGGCTGCCTTGGAGATGCAGTTGCTTGGCTTAAGGGCGATCTGCCCCTAGAAGGCTACAGACGGGAAACTCCTCCTCCCCCCACTTCTCAACCGGACCCTGCCAGGCCTGTTAGACCTTCCCTTCCCGGGCCTTGCGTGGCCAGAGAATCAGCGGAGCAGCTGCAGGATGAAAAGAGCCAGAGCGTATTGGAAGTGGCCCTGAAGCCTTTGTCTCCCAAGCAGGTGCCAGGCTGGAGTTATAGGGGTGTTTGGAAAACCTTCTGGCCCCAGTTTCAAGCCTGTAATCACATCATCCCTGGAGTTCTGCCGCCGGCTGCCCAGCCGGAATGGGGGGACAAGGACTCCGAGTTCAGTCCCAAAGACAGCCGGGGAGGCCCCGGGCAGGCCCGGGCCATTGATTATACAATGGGAAAGAAGCAGAAAACGCCCTGAGCCCAACTTTTCTACCTCCCGCCCCGCTGTGCAGGTCACCGGCCAAACACTCCCACGGTAAAAGGGGTGCCCATGCTGGCACCTGATTGGCTGGCTTTGTAGTAGGTGCAATTTCTATCCCCGCAAATGAAAGCTGCAACGGACCCAGCCGGAGAGGGTCTGACTCCAGATCCGATCCACGCCAGGAGAGGGGCAGAGTTTCTCTGGAAGGTGTTTGTGGCGCTCTCGGGTGAGGGGTGAGAGCTGCACCAGCGGGTGAAGGAGGCCTGTCCGTGTTGCCCTGGCAGGGGTGGGCATGGTGGGGCAGGGAGAGATTAGCAGTGTTTGTAACGGCTTAGAAAGTCTTTGCAGAGGGTGGATTATGGGGGTGCCCTAGCTCTGAACTTGGGTCCAAACCGGGGCTCCTTGTAGGGTAAGTGGAGGGGCAGAGGCTGGGTCATGAAGCTGGGATCCTGTCGCCTTTCCTGCGGGGGGTGAATTTGGTTCTTGGCAGGGTGCAGGGCAGGTGGAGCAGCCCTGGGCTCTTGCAGGCTTGGCCCTCTCCTGAGCAGGCGCGTGCAGTGAGTTTACTCAGCCTGGGTGGCTATGGGATGGGGATGGGGATAGGGACGGGACCCACCAGACTTTCAGGATTTGAACCCGGTTCAGCTGGGAGGCAGGTGGATGCTAATCCCCTGGTTCCGCGTCGTCTTTGCTTGTGACACGTCTGTGGACCTGGGTCCAATCCAGAGAGGGTCTAGCTTGACGGACAGAGTCCTGAGCATCCCAATACCTGTCAATGGCCTCTGTACAGTCAGTGACGTCCCAGCCACTGCTAGTCAGGCGGGTTGGAGCAGCCTCGCGTTGTCTTGACTGCGTGAGGCCTGAGCAGCGTCAGGCTGCCTCCTGGTCTCCCTGTCCGGGGAGCAAGAGGCCCGTTCCCAGGAAGATGCATGCGAGGTTACACTGATCCAGGGGTGACGGGTTAAAATCTCCGAAGTCCCCTTAATGTTGTCCCCTGGCGTGCTGATCATGCCACTGACGCCTGCCTTCCTGCTCTCTGCAGTGTCTCACCACCCCGTGCTGCTGGGCCAGATCCTCTGATCTCCCCCAGACAAGGCATAGAGTTGGGGTAACTGCCCCCTGCAAAGCAACACAGACCCTGAGTCAGCTCAGCTCTAGGAGGACTCGGTTCTAAGGGCTCAGCAGCCAGGAAACCAAACCCCAAATAAATCCGTCTTACTCTGTGAAAACCTTTCCTAGAGAAAGCTGATAAGGTCTGCCCACGTTCTCAATGAGAGAGAGAAGAGCACAGTGGTTACTTCCTCCCTCTCCCAGGTAACCATTGTTTACACTGGGCTTGCTGATACACAAAAGTGTTTTTATTAAGTACAAGAAGTAGGATTTAAATGGTTGCAAGTGAAAATAGATCAAAGTAACTTACTAAATTAAAATGAACCAAAACACTTAGCTAGTTCTAATCCACTAAGAATGTAAATTCTTATCCTAAACAGCTGTTCTTATCTCAGATACAAGCTTAACATCAGCGTTGATTTTTGTTTTGACTTGGGTCTACAGCTTCTTCAGAGTTCTTTGTTGACAGGTATCCTAGGTATCCTCTTCGGTTGGGCCAGGCAATTTCAAAGGCCAGCTGAAGACAAAAGCTGATGGCTTCCCACTGCTTTCATAGATTTTCCCAGAGGGTGAGAATCCTTTGTTTGGCATTCTCCATCCCCATGGAAAAATACCAGGTTCAGGATGGATTCCAGCACCAGATAGCTGGTCACATGTATTTCTAGGACCAATCACAGTCTGGGCTTACAGGACAAACCAGACCATTCGCAGGTCGTTGGTTTGATCACCGAGCCATTACATTTCCTGGGCATCAGTAACGTCCCTCGTTAGCACATTTAGAATGATAACCGATCCACACTTCGTACTTCGCACATGAGCACACAAATAGGATCTAGAGATCCAGCAGATTGTAACTATAAAATCGAGATGTTACATGATCTATTTTGCATAAAACATCTTGGAGTTATGCATCTTCATAAGCCAATTTTCATGTTGCATGGGGGGAGTCGACGCACAAGGCAGTTATCAGTGTGCAAAGGGCCAGAAGGGGGCTGTCTGTGCTATGGAGAGCTGGGGGAGCTGCTGTCTGGAGGAGGAACTAGCGACCGAGCACCATGGCAGTGGGTCTGGCCCCCCAGCTCAGCGTGCTGTGTTCACGCCCGCAGAAGCTGGAGAGCAGCGTGCTGACTTCTGGGGAGGGGAAGAGTCTTATCATTCGGGGCGGCTCCGAGGACGCGCCACCCACCCGCCTGCCCGCCCGGATCCGGGAGATCGTTGCCAAGAACTTGTCGGCGCTGGCTAGCCCAGGTAGGGTTGTGGCAGCCTGGCCTCCGGCTGCTCGCTGTGCTGTGGGTCTGCCCCACCTCCTGCAGCAGCACGCGTGCTGACTTCTGGGGAGGGGAAGAGTCTTATCATTCGGGGCGGCTCCGAGGACGCGCCACCCACCCGCCTGCCCGCCCGGATCCGGGAGATCGTTGCCAAGAACTTGTCGGCGCTGGCTAGCCCAGGTAGGGTTGTGGCAGCCTGGCCTCCGGCTGCTCGCTGTGCTGTGGGTCTGCCCCACCTCCTGCAGCAGCAC